TTTTCTTTATTTTTATTTTATATATTTTTATTAAATAAATATCAAGATGTGTGGCTACAAAATATTATGTTGATTTTTTAATTTTTTTTAATCTTTAATGCTTAATAATTGTGCATGTTTTGCATTTATTGTATATAATAAGTAATTGAATTTAATTTTTTAAATATTTTTTAAGTTAAAACAGATAATTCTTTTTATATATATTATATATAAATTGAATATAAATCAAATTTTAATAGCAAATACAAAATGAATTAGATTATGGATAATGCTAGTATAAACCAAGTTTCAATAACTAAAATAGAAATATATTATATTTATTTTATACAATTATTATTAAATTGAAAATATTCTATTTATTTTAATATAAATTTTTTAAAACACTTCTTAGAACAATTAAGAATAATTATAAAACATGTAATCCTCAACTTCAAGCTGCTCTTGAAAAGCTGCTAAAAGATACAATGCAGCCAAGGTTAAATATATTCTAGCATTTACATCTTTTCTTTATAGTATAAACAATAATAAAGATCCTCTTGTGTATGTAATAAGTGGTGCCAAAATCCATTTTTAAGTTAAATCAATAAAGCACAAAAAAAAACAGAACCAAATCTAAAGATAAAGAAAATCATGACTATCACATTATATTAGTATGAAAAGTTAAGGCAGTTAGTAAAAAGAAACATAATTTAAATTAAAATGTTTACAAGAATAACCCAAATTAGTAATTCATATACCATTATTTTTTTAAATATATTAATTATGAAAGTGTCTAATTAAATCCTTTATAGTTTTTTTTATAGCAAAATTAAGTGAAGCAATTATTGAATATAATTAATTTAGCTTTAGATCGATACAAAATATGCGAATAGCAATATGTTTTGTTAGACATTTAGATTTTTTTTTTAGTTTACATATTAAATAAGCTTTTTATTTAGTATACAAATATAATATTGCCTAATTACACTTGTCTACATAACTTACATATAAATTTATGAATCACTTGAATTTAGATAATAGAAAACTTGAAGCATATATATTATTTTGATAAATAAAGATGCTTTAAATTTCTAGCACAAAATTCATTACATCATAGTGCTAATTATTTATTATGAAGAATCTTTTAATAACTTTAGCCTATTAGTATTTCGATCGATTATTTGGGTGCCGTCAAGGGAAAACCTACAATCGGGCTTTCAAATATATTTTGTGTACAGTTGTTTATCTGTGTGTCGTCTATGGTAAATCTATGTCCGATGATAGATTTACATAGACGGCACACAGATAACTAACTGTACACAAAATATACTTGAAAGCCCGATTGTAGGTTTTCCCTTAACGGCACTCATTTTTATAAATATTTTTAGACTTTCAAAAACAGATCGATATGTTTTAAAAATTTCCGAACTTCAAAAAATCGAATTTGCCAACTATAAATTGGTTCAATTTATTAACTTATTAATAACTAACCTCCAGTTATAACACCAGAATAAAAAAAAAAAAAAACTTAGATTTTTCGACAACAATCAGAATTTTTTTATTTTAATTCTATGAGTTGATAGAATTAAAATAAAAAAATTGATCAAATTTGAATAGCAGGTTTCTTTAATATTAAAAAAATTTGGCTGCAGCTTTTTTTATAAGCGCCTAAATTTTGAACGAAGTTTACTCGGCACTTACCTGGTCAAATTCGATCAAAATTTGGTTATATTAATCTATAAGCTCGTAGAATTGAAAAAATAGATCGAATTAGACCAAGTAATCTTCGTTCAAAGCTTAAATGTCTTTAAAAAAGAAGCTGCGACCAATTTTTTATAAAATTTTAATGAATATTTCTCAACAATCTGTTACTCAAATTCGATCAATTTTTTTATTTTAATTATATGAATACATAAAATTAAATTAAAAAATTTTATCAAATTCTGATAGTTGGTTGTTGAGAAATCTTTGTTTAAAGTTCAAAGAAGGAAAATTTTACCCTATTCTAGCTTTTTCCAAAATTTTTTTTTTAACGTTTAGTGATAATTTCTTGATAACTACAGAACCAAATTCAATGAACTTATTTTTAATTTAGTTCTACAAAAGTATATAATTGAAACAAAAAAAAATTTACCGAATTTGATCCAGTAGTTATAAAATTTTCAGATCATTTTTATTCGAGCATTTTAGATAAATTTGCATGATGCATGTAGAATTTAAATAACGACCAATTTAATCGCTTTCAATGCAAAAACTACGTGCTCTTTAGTTATATGATCTATCCCAATTAATTTTAGAATTATTCCAATATATTTTAAAAAAGTAATCTCATATTCAAAAACCGAATTTATTGTGGCACCGGATATGCAAGTTAGAAAAGGTTTTTCCCGAGCTTGCATAGACGAACATCATCAGATTGGCAATGATCGGCATAGCCTGGCACAGAATTCATACGTACGTACGTTCTCAAGCAGTTTTCTAATGGATTTTATATCAATTTTGTCATTTGCTGGTACTTGAAATTGTCGTGTTAGGATTTGGTAACTGAGAATAGAGAATGATGGATTATGATTATTATTCAATAGATTAGAATTAGGATTTGGTAGATTGTGTTGGGTGTTCAATAAATTAAAATTAAAGTTTAAGATTCAACGGATTAGGATTAGAATTCAGTAGATTAGGAGTATTCAAAGGATTAGGTTTCAAGCACCTTAATCAATCTGTAGAAACGGTAAATTTTTATTAGTAAAAAAAAAAAATATAGTATTGATTATTCCAATAAACAATAGATAGAGGCCCAAACGTTCATTTTTTTGCGCTTATTGGTTGAAATCTTTTCATTGATTGATTAGAAAAAATGATGTTTAAATATTCACACTTTTTATATTATTATCGTTATGGATCAAAATCATTTCAAACGATGACGAATTATTATCTTATTACTTATGCTATAATTATCCTCCGTGAATAAAAAAGACACGTTTTTGTGTTCTGTTGGTTTGTAGTAAATTCAAAAAAGAAGAAACAGAATTAGGAAGTTTCGTAGATTCTTTATCCTTTCGTTGATAATAATTAAAGACATTTGTTCAAGCATAAATACAAACAATATTTTAATTAATCAAAACAGTATAATACTTGAGCACCAACACGATTATAAATTAATCACATTGAAGAAAATAAGTGAACATATTATCATCCATACTATCGGTTTTCAAAAATGGACTAATTAATAACGCAATAATGGTTAAGTATTGTCTCAATAAATAGTAAATCACATCGGTATGCCACCCTAAGGTTAATAATTAATGTTTAATTTAGTGACTTGATGGTTATTAAAAAATTTTTAATATAAATTTAATATACATTAATAGATAAATAAATAAATGGCTTAATTAATTATAAAACCTTTTTAAAAAGATAAAATTTATTCTAATTTAAGACGACTATTTATATTATAAATTCTAAATTTATTTAAATAATTTAATAAATATTCCGTTGGAGATGCATCAGCTTATAAAGTCTAGCTAATGAATAAATATATCTTTTTTTTAAAAATAATCATTTATGTAAAATATAAACCACTTATGAACACACGTACATCATACGTACATACATACGTACGTACATAGTAATTGATTGTATGCATTCTAAGCATTGTGCATACGTACGTGCGTAGATGGTTTTATTGTATGTATTCTAAACATAGTACAATCGACTCTTATTACAAAATTATAACCGAATAAGGGCAAGGCCACTTACTACGTCAATTCCTTCATTTATATCGGTTCAAAATTCTATTATAATTAACAAAGATAAGATTGTTAAAACGGTAAGAATTTTGAATAGATATGGTCGAAATAGAAAAAGTTTAACAAATGCGAAATGGCTAAAAAAAAAAAAAAGACCGATGAACAACGAACAAGTATAATTGGGCTGGTTGGGCTGGAGCGGAGGGAAACGGAGTGTAAGTGTATATTATAAAGTTTAAGAGTGTAATAAATAAGGCTCCAGCCCTACGAAACGGCGCCGTTTTACTAGTCATAATAGTTGAGGTAACTATTGCTTTCCTGTAACTATTCTCGCACGTATAAGTTATTAAAGACTTATCTGAATATCATCGAACAAATAATGGTTAAAGATTTTTAATATTTGATTTTCAATATTTGAATTAGATACACGTAGCTAAAAAAAGACCACCTGAACTCTAAATTATATTCATAGTTAAATTCCAATTATGTCAACTGTCAAAAAATAAAAATAAAGATCGGAGTGGGTCTATTTCGAATATTAATAAAACTAGTGCATAATTATTTTAAAAATTGAACTTTTTTTTTTTAGCAACAAGCAGAATAAATTTAGCTAGACATATATGCTTATAAATAATACTGATGCACTTATATAGACATAAATTACAAAAATAAGCTTTTCAAATTAAGAACGTACATACTATGTATGTATGTACATACATACCGTACTGTACGTACATACGTAAGTATGTAGCACATGTAATGAGCTGCAGTTTTAGTAAAAATTAATTTGGAAATTGGTGAGTGTGTACGTACGTATTCGATTATTTGAAATAAAATCTGTAATGTAAAAATACAATAGCAACAACTTGCCATATATTAGTTTGCTTACGAAGTTTATGAAAATCATTCCTTTTTCGTTAAAAAGGAAATACGAAAGCCAATTAGATATTATATAAATAGAAAATTGCTCTCAGAGATACGAATGTAAGACAAACTCAGCCAATGACAAGGAGTTCAATACTTAACAAATTTCCGATCACATGTACGTAGTACTTCAGTACTTTATCATTAAATCTAAATTTCATTATATATATTGATACGTATTAAGATGCATTTGTTAATATAAACTTGTATTGATATATAATTATATTTTAAATACTAATAAAAATAAAAATAAAAAAAAGTATGTGCATGCCTTATAAAAACCCACATTTTATTTTTATTTTTTAAATTTGCCTTGAGGCGAATTCTTTTTTATAAAAAAAAAAAATAATGATTTTTCAAGAAGAGAAAAGAGCTTGTAGTCTGTTTTGGATCAAGTTAACTAGATATTGGTTTCCACTTGTAGATGATGATTATAAGGATCATGACCCACCTGGTGAACCACTATGTTATCGTTGGACCAGATTCTTTTCTCTTCTTATTATTTATTTTTTGATAATATATTTTATTATCGTTTTCATTTTGAGTTTTACTGATACACCTTATATAGTAATGTCCCGATCAGATGTCAATAATATACCAATTCCTGGTAAAATTTTTATTTTCAACTAATTCATTTTGATAATTGACATTTCTATTAATCTTTTTAATCATAATTATTATAATTATTATAATTGTAGTTATCTTTTTAACTTTCAATTCAACAATGTATTTCAATTTTCGTATTAACTGTTTTTACATATGTAAGCATTTTAGTTAATTTGGTTTCATATTTATTTTATAATTTCATTAATTTAGTTTTCAAAATTTTTTTCAAATTTTTTCATAGATAATACTGGCGATACTTCCTCCTGTAATAGTCATGTGTTCAATGAAACCGATCCAACTACAAATCTTAATACTTTTTTTTATTATGATTCTGGTGTCAATTTTACCGATGGAACCTTGCTGAATATGCCCACAGGCGTTAATTTCCAAATTTCTGCAAATAATTCATTGCCAAACGATTCTCTTACGACATTGCTTTCATACCCACTAATTACACTCGTTGATCAAGAATTATTTACTAGTTATATTTCTGGAACTGATCAACCTCAATCAAAACTCTCTAATACTTTTTTATCTGATCTCTCTAATGTTTACTTTCTTTCACCGTACCAGGTAATATAAATTTATTATTTCATTGACTATCTTAACAATATTATTAAATATTTATCTATAAAATTAATTTCACAAAAAAAAAAAAAATCATTTTTAAAATATTACTAATTGTAGAGACAAATTGTATGGTTTGATCGTGTTAAACATACAGAACTTAGTGCTGCTTCAAAGAAAGGGGGGGCTTTATCAGTTGCAAAAAAATCATCTAAGCTCGCGATTAATTATTTTGACCTTTCAACAAGGATCCGTAAGCAAATCAATTTCATTATATTTGCGGATTTACTAATTCAAGATTTGACACTTACTTAATAGCGTTCCCAAAATTATTTTTTCGTGATTTTGATTTATCTAAAATTAAAAAGTTTCATTCGTGTGGGAATCGGTGATTCCATCGATTTTTTTTTAAAAAAAAAGTTCAAATCCGTAAATCCGCAGTAATTTTGGTTTTTTTTTAAAAAAGAAATTTATATATTGAAATTTTATGTATTTATAATCAGAATCTCTAAGTCCTTTAAACCCACTGGGCGTAAATCCAGCTCAATTTACGGCTACTTTGGAAATATTTAATCAATCATCGACCTTAACCACTTATAAAGAAACAGAGTAAGTCATCATTATTATTGTGAATTATATCAATGAACAAATTTCATAGTGTTAAAACGTACATACTAACATTAATCATCCTCTTTATTAATTAATCTTTTAGTAAAGCGTCCCAATTCAAGGTTCTCACTTTCTTTACCTCACTTGGTGGAGCCAACGCATTCTTCATGACTGTTTATATGTTCTTGTATGGTAAAAAAGGCCCAGGCATACTACCATACCTCATCTATCCATTTTTGTGTTGTTCAGGTCCAGCAAATTATATACGTGAAAGATTTATAGATCAACCTTCACATATGTTAGACTTGGAGAAGGATGTGGACAAAGACTCTATCCCTTAATGATGTAGAAATAATTAATTATATCATTAATTATGTCTCATTTCAACTTTATTTTAAAAACTGGTATATCATAACTTTTTTATATTGTCGTAGTTAATTCTTCATTAATTATATTACGATAATTCTCCTGTACCACCTATTCTAACCTATGAAATGATAAAATATTTAGAATAGTTATTGTTTTACATTGCTGTACCATGTTAGATACTACCTTTAGTAATTAAATATTTAGAATGTAATTATGCATAATTTCATAATGTTATATACTATACTTAAAATTTTTATTATAAATAAATATATATACTTTCGAATGAGTTCTATACAATATTCACTATAAATTTATATGCAAAAATATATATATATATTTAATTTAAATATTAAGCTTAAAATTGATTTAAAATGGGCTTGGGTCAAAATTCCGAAATAAGAATTCTGACAGGTCGAATTTCCTAAAAAAGTTGCGTTAATCCTGGCTAAATTTGTCGGAATTTTGGCCCTGTCAGGATTCTGTTCATCGAGATTTTGGCCCTGTCAGGATTCTGTTTATCAGGATTTGATCCAATCCCATCTATTTAAAATTATTTATCAGTTATCGTTATACAAAATCGATTTTAATTGATTTGAATGATAATGCAAAAGGTAAGCCTCCAATTATTCTAATAGCTTGATCGAAAATGTAAAAAAAATTTCATCAATTCAAAACCGGTACGCATGGTAGGTAATAGTAAATGTCAGGTTATCGGTTTTGACAGAATATATTATTATTACTCGATCAGTTGACTTTATTTACACGAAGAAGAAACATATGGGATTCCGTTCGCTATCATTTTTCAGGCTTTACAAGCTTTATATTAATTACGCTAAAATGTTTGTTCCAAAGGGATATTTCATCCCAAACAATCAATACACACATCTCATAGCCCATTACATCTCTCTTAATCAAAAGGAATCACATAGCTATAAAGAGAATAAGTTATATAGTATTATATCTGGCGACGTAAGTGAAAACTAAGACACAAGTCCTTGCACTGCCTAACCACCAAACATGAGTCTCATGCACTGCCTACGGCAACTTAAATCATTGCATTGCCTACAGCTGCTGAAGCCTAATTGTCAAATGTGGAATCCTTGCGCTGTCAATGGTAACTTCAGAGCCTAACAGCACCCACTAATAGCTTCCTACACAAGTGTCCTTAGTTTAAGAGTTACTGAGAGACAGGTGGGAGTAGTTTGGCGGTAGAGTTAATTTGGCAAATTAATACGATTACGGCATGTGCCGTATTATTTGCCGTAATTACTTTGTGCCGTAATGCCATTATATTGAAATACCATAATGTGGTATCTAAATATTATAATGCAATTGCAGTAAGGCGTTAAAATAGAATAACATAGGATAAAATTCCGCTAGTGTTTATTGTTTAAAGTAGTAGAAAATGGAACAAGTACCACAAGTAAGTTATTTGTCGCTTCTTTAAATACTGATTGTGGTCGGTGGCTTTCGGTTACGTCACTTTATTCGCATGAAATTTCCGAAGTCTGATGTCTCTTATGATCCTGACCCATGTTATCAGGGCAGGGTTGTAGGTGTTCAAATATTATCAAAAATCTGATAGTAATTTAATTTTAAACCCTAACTCTAACCCTAACTTAAGCTGAATGTTTAATCATTTAATGGAGTTCCTTTTCTTCAAACTACCCGAATTAAACTTGTTTATGAATTAATTGTCAGTGAATTAAGAGTTGGTGATTAAATGTGCCGGTAAACTGGACATGTAGATAATTAATCATCAGTGATTTAAATGCCTGTAAAATAGACTTATTGTGAAGTCTTGTGCTTACAAAAGGAGCATCAGTGAAGTGAGCGGAACTGGCTTAATAAATAACATCAAATTCACTTAATTAAATTATATTGCATTATAATAAACATAAGGGGTTTCAAATGATAATCACATTTATTGAGCATAGCGGGCTTTAAATCTGATTGGATGATCGCCCGGAATGTTTCACAATATGGTTTACATATTAGCGTAACG